TAGTTGTCAATTCTGGGCTGGGGTTTTAATTGGGATAATTAAAAAAATAAAACCTAAGATTTCTAGCCCTTGTCTCACTGGGTATGTATGATGGCACAGTGGGAGGTTATTTACACCATGAACTGTTTTTAGATTGACATTATTGGTCAATGGCAAGGAATAAAATTAGCACCTGCCAGCTGCCATGTACAGGGTTAACGCAAGTAAAAGAGTTCAGGTCACCTGCCCCCATGGAAGATACCTTTTCTTTATCTTAAGATTTTAATTTAAGACTAGTCTGTGATTAAGGTTACATGATATATTACATGTTTCTACTGTCTTGTACCGCTAGCTGTGCTTACAATTCTGAAGTGTTCTACAAAAATTTCAGAGGGGGCTTTAATGCTTTATCGCAACTAAATGAACATTTATTTCCCGCCCGAATAACAGGTGCACCAGTTGGAACCAGGATTCAGCTGGTCACACTCACAACATGTTTTAATGAGTTGTTTTGTGACCTCTTTTGTTCACTGGACTCCTTTGAGATCGTTTCCTTTGAACGGTCGGGGTCGCTGCTCTGACGCTCTCCTGGCCCCCGTGATCCTGCCATTGTCACGGCCGGTTAGATGACACTCTGAGCCCGTTTTCAGTTATCCGCTCACCAGGAAAGCCAGCGTGAAATTGGAGCGATTTGGCTGGCACCTGCTTATGTCGCAGTGTGCTTGATGCTGCGAGAGCAGTTTGATGAATTCGCTATTTCTGATCTTTGAAGCCGATCCTGTCGGAGCGCCATCTGCTCATCAGGATCAAACTGCGGTTTAGAGTGTCCTTTTGACATTAAAGGTGCTACAGGTAAGATGTGGCCGAGTGTGAGGGAAGTCGCTGTTTTGACAGTTTCGCCAAATACGTATTCCCCCCCCCCCCCTTTTAAATGTGCATTTCCGTATCATTTCATACAGGAGAGCTACATTATATACAGTAGGCCAATCCCGCAGCATCACTACACAGCAGAAACAGATAAAAGGATTACAGCTCATATTTTAATGCTTCTTCTTGTTGCTGTAATACACTGGATACTTGTTGGGCATTTTCCCATAAATCAACATCTGTTCGCTGTCAGATGTATAAGCATTCATAATTAGACATATAAAGATCTGCATCCTCAGGGGAGAAAACCCTCACCCAGGTTAATTCTGGCAATACAATCTGTGTCCTTTCTCCTAATGAAGTTTAGGGAGTGCAAGTGTGGATACTGAAGGCGTCACAGCAGACACAGTAGATTTCCTCTCCGGGCTGATGTCGAGTCGCCTGCCTCTGTGCCATTTTTAGCCTGCGGCCGCCCTGGCTGGCCTCGGTGCCACCTTTGCTGCTCGGTGCCACGTGTGGGCAGATGCTGGCTGGGGGCCACTCCCATCTCCTGGGCTGCATGGTGGGGCTCTCCCATGGGACTGGGCTATGGGGCGAGGTGGAGGACGGAGGGAAAGAAGGGGGGGGGGGGGTGCTGGCCGCTGACTGAAGCACACTAGCGGTCTTAAGGAGCGCTGCTGAGGGGAAGTCCTGTGCGTTTGAAGTAGGTACCTTAGAAAGCCTGTTTACTCGGGGGGGGTGGTGGTGGTTGGGGTGGCTTGCTGCACAAGAATGCCTGTGTCATGACGGGAGAGGAGGAATGCACTCCACAATCCCAACACTGTAGGAGCCTGGGCCACAGCTGAGGTGGCAGCCATTTCTTCTTATTTATTTTAGCTCCCGCTCCACTCAATCACCGGCCTGTCTGCGGCCCGAAGCATCCCTGGAAAAAAAGAGAAGAAAAATGGCCTGCGCTTTTATTTATGGCTTGAGATTTCCAAGTATTTACCAGCGCAGTATCTTCCCCCGATGTGGATGAAATATAGGATTATTATTATTTTTGTTCTGCTTTAATCATTTATTTATTCAGGGGAAGTTCACCAGAGCACGGAGGAGCTTCTGCCTCGCCTGTCTTCACATACACACGTTCGTATTCATGGCATTTCAGTGGGATCATAGTTCATACTAAATGTTAATTTGACCAGGTGAGAGCGCACAAAAACTGTACTAAGACGCCTGGAAATCTCTTAACATTCTCCCAAGAGCGCTGCACTTTGGGTCACTGATACATACGCTTGAATGGGTTTTGAAAGTGGCTTGTGTTCATCTGATGAATGATCTTAACTGGCTTGAACGCCAGAGAAGGTTAATGCCGAGCGCTGACACGTCCGTCACGTTTGGCTGAAACCACCGTCACTGGAAGCAAATTTGTTTTGCCTCACCCCGCTGCCAAAACACGGCAGGAGGGGAGCTCACCAAAGCCTCTATAACACACAAGCTTCTTGTGACTCCACGTGCCCTTTGTTTACTGACCGGTTTGTTTGTAAGTGGGCTCCGTGAGCCTACATGAACCCATTTATTTTCATTCAAAGCCTGTGATGTCTCTCATGGGGACTACAGGCGGACGTTTATGGACATTCAGCATATTTTCGGTTTGAATAAAGATGGGCTCGTCTGCAAAAAGAATTCCCCAGCGCTCCCGTCACGCACACAACCAGAGAGTCTGCAAAAAATGATTTACTGTTGAAAAAACTTCTACACCGTTTACTCCAAGCTGTGCAGCACAAAGCCTATACCATCATCAGTCAAGCATTTTAGCTGTAGCTGATACAGTAAATGTCAGCGGCTTTGTTAGCAGTTAATGAGATTTTAAAGTCAATTTCATTGTTTGACACATTACATTTTCACACCATGTATACGTAAGATTGTTGTTTTTGTTAGCGCACAGTAAAAGCAAACAGAACATTGACGTATTTTGCTTCACTGATGGAAATATTAATGATGTTCAGATTGCAGTGTTTCTGTCAATAAAGAGTTTCAGAGTTTGTTAAACTGTAGGTTATAATAAGTAGTAAACTTGTGCTGGAGTGAAGTTTGTAATCATAGAGAAGGTCTCAGAAAACATTTGAAAAACTCTGTTTTAAACCTTGAGTGCACCCAAGGTTCAGACTTTTCATTTCCTCCAGCAGGCTCAAGCCTGAGGGGAGATCATGCGTTCGGTTGTGTGTGTGTGTGTCTGTCTGTCCACAGCTAATCTCGCATACTAATGGGCACATCAGTCTAATATTGTCTGTGCTCATTAATGACTGTTTGCTCAATGGCCTCTTGTGGTTGCAGCGATTCAAAACCTATTTTATTGTTTTTTATTTGTCGTTGAGTGCTGACTCCTCCCTCCTCTTAAACGGCAGGTAGGAGCAATCAAACACTGCTTCAGTAGCAAAAGGCACGTCCGGCAATCGTCTCGGCTAAGAACAAGACTTAGTCTACCCCGACATGTTACGGTCCACTGAAGTTCGGCACGATAAGTGATGAATAAGTCCATGTTTTTTATATCTTCATCGCAATTTTGACTGTAAGGAAGTTGAGAAGGACCATATAATGAGATTCAACTCCTCCTTGTTTGGGAGGGGAGGGGGAGAAACATCTGGTGGAGAGAGAGTGCACTTTTCTAGTTTCGTTTTGAGATTGCATCAAACGCGTTCGAAATTGACCAAAATTACCAAACTAACTAAAAAATGCGGTTGACACCAAACCAAGCAAAAAAAAGCAGACAGCCTTACTGTTGGCCTGAAGCTCCAGCAAATTAAAAACGCTCTCTGATGATTCATTCACATGCCAAGAAGTTCCCCACCGAGTTTTCACCCTGCAACTCTCATGCTGGCTTTTTACGACCAGCTAAGCTGCTGACACCCGAAGGATTCGGCAGTTCCCCGTCATTACAGTGGAAAATTGAATCTCCTGTGCGTCTACCGTAAAGCAAAGTGTAAAGTAAGGGATATCTGTGGCCACTTGATCGGTCCTCGGAGAAGGTTTACCGAGGAAACCGGGTGAAGGATTCCATATCAGCAGTGACGGGTTCGACACCTCAGCCTTCAGTGGAAAGCTAAGCGCAATTAGTGGGGGAGGTTATATATACATGCTTCTTCAAAACGGGACGAATAAGCTTTTGCCAGGAAGTGCAGAGCAAACTGAATATTGTCAAATCTGATGATTCACTTCATTTTCATATTGAGTGGAGACATAAACGTGCTTTGAAGTCAAACCTGATTTTCCTGTTTTATTACCACAACAACTAATCTGTAGATTGTAAAAATGCCTAAAAATAGTGACATATCGTGTATTTTATTTGTGCTGTTACAGGCAGTGAAGAGACTTCAAGCATCATGAGCTCTGAGTCTTGAGGGTTTCCTCGACAAAGGAGCTCAAGTCTTCATTAAGAGCCACCAGTGAACCACATGTCAGGAACATTAGCTGTGTTTGTGTGTACAGTGCACTACGTTGCACATTTATGAAATACATACTATCATTTACTAAAGGGCATGGATCTGAATGCACACTAAAAAAGCGAATGATGGAAATATTTATTACCATACGAGTGGTTTTGTGCCACACTGGCTGAATGAAAAATACATTCAGAATGTTCTAAAAGTCCGTCACAGTTTTCCAGAGCCCAAAGTGTCATCCTGAGATATGTTAATATGTTCAACCAACAGTCCAAAAATGTTTACAATAACAATGAACAGAGAAATGCAACAAATCCATTAATTTCAGAAGCTGGGACCAGAAAACAAACCTGGTATTTTGGCGAGTGGTAGAGTGAATTGTTTGCACTCATCAATAATATATCAATATATATATAAAACACCTTTGCCACATAGTGTGAACTCCTGTAGTCCTGCCACTACAAGAAATTTATTCATATTGATTCAATGCACTTGTCAGCTTCAGTACTGAATTCTTGTGAATCTGTGTCATTTTCAACGTAACAGTGGACCAAAGGTGTGAATTTACTCACTAATCATTTCAAAGTAAAAGCTCCATAGCAGCTGTTGTCCACAGAAACGTGTGTTGTTTAGATAACCGCATACCATTTGTGCAGTGTGATTAAACGTGTTTGTTTAAAGACTTCTTGTCTTGCTAACACTTCCATGTCCGCTGTCTCGATCCCTGTACAGAACCAGAGCTGGACGTACCCGGGACCCTGGACTCTGTAGCCCGGCAGGTCAATGAGACCGTCCGCCGCCGCCGAGATGCCGGATTGGACGACTACAACATTGAAATCCTGCTGGGGGTTGACGACTCGGTGGTTCGGTTTCACGGCAAGGAGCATGTGCAGAACTACCTCCTCACTCTCATGAATATCGTAAGTCACAGACACTTGTTTTTGTCACTAGTTTTAATACTCGTGTTGAAGTCACTCCTCTGGCGTCCAAATATGGTAACTTCCGCTCATTGGTTGCAAAAAGCAAAGATGGCGGCGGCCATAATGCTGAACTCAAGGCTTCAAAACATCATCATGTCCACTTCTTCTATACAGTCTTTCCCTTTGACCGCCAAACTCAAATCAGTTCATTCCTGAGTCCAGGTTTGAAAAAATTCCCTCCAGGCGTTACAAGTTATAGATATCAAAGCATGGATTGTTCTATGGTGTTCCTCGGCGTCTTGCTGTCTTATTGTGGTATTTTGCTTAAGCTTACAAAAATTTGGCATCAGACCCGTGTAATATTTGTAAGATTTGCCAATCAATCGCTCTAACAACTTATAACACATAAGTGAGCATGAGAATGTCCGTCATATACTTCCATCAAAATGTTCTAAGCCCTTTTACACTCTAAACCTTCAACATTTGAATTTGCTCCAAACCAAAACACAACGGTTATTACAGATTCATGACTAGTAAAACAAGACAGACAGTGCTGAGCTGTACTTCAAATTAATCTTCAGGTTCCCAGCTTTCAGACGCTGTGTACCACGACTATGTATCACATACTGTTGACCTGCTAACTCCTCCTTAAGATCCCCTGTGCCCCTCTTAAAACATGGATCACTGGGGTTTCAACCTGAAACAGCAACTAAACTCAGTTCTCGTGTCTTCTGAGAGCTGGGTCAGTATTAGTAAGCACTCAGTTCTGTTTCCCAGGGCCAGAAGCCATACAGAGGAGGTTACACTGCCCTCTAATCTGCCTTAACAATCACACATTGATTGCAGCTGGTCATGATCTGAATATATACGTTAACAACAGCCTCTCTCCTGTGAGCCGTCTGCTGTGGCTCGGGGTTAAATCAACAGATCTGGGAGCTGGTGCGCAGTTGTCCACACCGGGATACCGAGGAATGATTGCTAAGGATCTGTGCAGGGATCATCCGTGTGTCTTCGATGTAGCTGCACCTCGTCGAGGTCGTTGAACCGAGATGCTTTTAGTCGGCGTTTTTACAATCGATTCAATCGACGGTCATGTGCTTCGGGAGACGTCGACAGAGAAAAGCCTCCCCCGTGGGGGAAGAAATCGTGCCACCGCTCGCTGCGTGGCGAGGCCTTCAATGAGACGTTTCACAGATGTAGAAGCAGGCAGAACACTTTCATCCCACTGTTTTATTTTCGTGCTTTCTGGAGAGAACTATGGAAGCTGCTGTTCCTGCTGGTGTTCAAAGGGGATGGGCTTGGGGATGAACAGCGTTTCTTTATACCGTTGATGACATGTTGTGGGGGAGAAGAATTAAAGCATTAAAGCAGAATTAAAGCAGCCAACCCGGCGAGCGACATCATTGGATGCCGCTGCTGCGTATCAGACGGTGTGCTCCCATTGATTTCTATCAGGGTGATGTTGAGTGTGTCGCAGCACTGGCTGTATTCCTGATTACTTGTCATGCGTTTCCTGTGAAGGCATCGTCCCAGAAATATACATTTTTTAAAACCCTTTTCAGCCATCACTGCTGAAAGATAATCCTTTCAAATGCATATGCTCGGAAGCATTGATTGTGTAATGTTGTTTACGCTCTTCCTCCGCAGTCCTTTGTCCTGCATTGTGCTCTTCTGAGAATGTGAGAAAACACAGGATTGTTTTCAAGTATCGAGGATAATAATCGTATGTCTTGTGTGTTGAGTTTTAGAAAGGAAGTTTCGTTAAAAGCTGTCTGAACCCTGACTGGCTTACACCACCATCCTGCTGAGCAGATCCAGGCTCTCTGGACTGACTGGAAGGATGTCGGTTAATTTGATTGTCGACAGAAGCCAATCAGAGCCTCGTCAGTAAATGGGCTCCTTGGGTTAAACAGTTCGTCTGTGATAAAGGATAAATTCATCCAATTCAACTCTGAGACACATCATGATCTCATTAATTCATTATTATACAACTTGTGATAATTCAAATAAGTCAACATTGACTTGGTGTCACATGGGACACGAACAGTGGTCTCCTGAGTTAAAGTCCTTTGCGTGTTTCTTCCATCCATCCACCTCGACACCTGTGTTTCTGTGTATTTGACGCCATGGGAATGAGACTGTGTTTCTTACAGTATACTGTATATATACAGAAGACAGATATCCATAATTCAGAGAAAGAATGTGTTGGCGTGTGCATCTCTCTCTCTCACTGTGTTGCCATGGTCGCCAGTGATGAATTTACGAGGTTATTTATGGTGTTTCTCAGCAGAGGAAACAGCTCTGACCTCTGACCTCTGACTGTGTTCAGAGGTTGCCAAGGCTGTTCATCTGGACCTGCCTCTCTCTTCCTTGCCTTTCACCTCTCCGCTCTCCTGTTCCCTTCCATCCTTCCATCTTCTTCATTATCATTCTTCCCCTCGCCTTCTCTTTCCTTTTCCTCTCCTCTCCTCTCTCTTTTCTTGTCTCTTCTTCTCTTTCTCTCCTCTCATCCTCGCCCACTCATTTTCCCATCCTCCTCCTCTCCTTCCTCTCCTCTCTTATCCATTTTCTTCTCTTTCCTCCTTTTTGATTCCTCCTTCTCATCAACAAAGAGCCTCTACTTATGTATCGTCCCTGTTCTCCAGAGGACCGTAACTCATTGTAACATATAATGAGCTTGTATTCATGTACTGTACGGTGTTAATGAGTGTGTATGTGCTTCTCCATTGGTGTCACTGCTGTCAACAATGGGATCAACACCAATGTAGTTTTCATGGACGCACACTGTATTAATCTGTTTAATCTCGCTCCAGCTTTACGTTTGGTCCCCAACATGCTCCAGTAAATGAGATAAGAATCAAGTCTTATGTGAGACTCTGTTAGCGAGTGTAGAACAGGCTTCTAATGTCGGACAACTGGATTTCTGGGAGAATCAAACACTCTATGTCGATGTGGACATCTAGATTTTATAGGCTTCTTTTTTCTCACAATTGATGCCTTTTTTCCATTATTTTTCCCTCTCTTGTTGGACCTTTTTTTCACTTGAGTAAAGATCGTGCCGGCTGCTGGTGGATCAGTTTCAGTCATAAGTGTACACATGGAAAGACACGCACGGGAATAAAATAGCTTCAGCCGGTGGCATCAGTTTTCCCTCTCAAGCCGTCAAAGATCAATATCATTTCTCTTGAAAGCTTCGGACAGAAGCCATTACGCACTCATCCACTCACCAGGAAATGCTCCAATGAGAGGTTACGTGATGCCCAAAATGTTGCATCTCACCAACATTTCAGCGTGTCAGCAGACAAGATATTAAAAGGCGGTGAAGAGTTTGAAGTTGTCAAACTGGTAATCAGAATTTCTGCTGTCAGAATCAGAAGAAACAGATACAATCTGTGTTCATGTGAGTTTAATTGTTTGAAATCATCAAAGTCAAACTCCACTTGATCAAAAGGCAGTAAAAAAAAATAAATCTCCAAAAACATCAATAACAAAATAGTAGAAACCGCCCGTATTTATTTAGTGGTTATACATTACAGGGTTTCACTGATGAGTCCTCCTAATGGGACATAAAGTAATGCGTGACTTTTATGGACCTCTGTAGGTGACATGTGGGTACTGCAACAACATTTACATTGAAATATACAGTATTTAATTTTTCAAATCTTTTGTGCTCTTTACAGTTTTTCTCGATTGCTAAGACACATTTCTTGAAACGGTCACCCATTTTCTCAAAACTGTAAACACAAAACCTCATCTTCAAGCACTATTTACAAAACCTCTGAATCCTCTTGCAAAATGAAACTTTCGCCTCAAAACAGTTTTACCTGTGCTCAAAATCAAACACTGCTCTCAAATCATAAACAAAGCGATGAAAATAATATACACTATCAAGCAGTCAGTAAACAATACACCAATAAATAGAAAACACATTGAAAACATATAGTTCTCAGGGAGAAGTAGATTTCTAATCTCAAAACAAATTTCATATGAACGAAAAAATGTTCTATTACAGTAGCTCAAAATTGATCAGAAATTACTACTGTGCTTTGCTCTTTGCAATTTCTTTTGTTCTTCCTCCTCCTTGTACCCCTATTTTTACAGTACTGTACCCTGCATCTCACAAACGTGTCCTTTGTCTCTGTGATACTGTAATTCTTGTTCTTTGTTGATATGAACCTGCAACCAGTCAAAATCTATTGAGCAGTCAGTACTGTTACTGTAACAAATAGAAAGCACGATGTTCAAGGCCATACAATTTGTTTATTGTACATTATACATCCTACAATGCACTGTAGGCCTACTACAGTATACAATACTACAGTAAAAGGGACACAAATCAAAGGAGTCAACATGTCATCAATGTGCTTCTTCTTGTCTTTGGGCTGGGTCAGGCCAGAGCACTTCGTCGACATCACAAGCAATATTTTCTCTCCTGACGCAACGGGGGAAGAAGCCTCTTGTGTGCCGTATCCAGCCCTGACATGATTCCTCACCTATATCACCACAGGCTAATTCCATGGCTTGCAGCAGATTTACTCTGGTGTAGGGTTGTCTATCATACACTTTCCATCTCCATGAGGAGAAAAACTCCTCAATCGCAGGAAAGGCGAGTATGGACCATTGATGTTAAACCATTCCCTTACCTGAGCAGCTCGGTGGAAACTGACATTGTCCAGCACTATCACATTGGTGGGAATGGGATTCTCATTTAGCTCTTGACCCTGCTGCTCAAATAAAATATCTCTTAGATTGGCCAGAAATCTTAGAAGATGCTGGGTGTTAGATGGCCCGAGTGTAACATGGTGATGTAGAACACCATGGTTGCTGATAGCAGCACAGATTGTGACATTGCCACCTCGTTGACCAGGGACTTCAACAATGGCCCGCTGTCCAATCACGTTTCGGCCTCTCCTTCTCCTCTTTGTTAGATTGAAGCCTGCTTCATCGACAAAGATTAACTCATGGGGTCTGTCCAAGGATTCCAAGTCAAATATTGTCTG